GTGGGAGAAGTACCCTTGCTGGCCTGTTCAGCTAGCCAAGTGATAAAAGCGGAGGGTGAGAACCACCTTCTGGCACCTAGTTCTAAATGTAATGTCCTCACACAACTGACCCATCATGCTCTACCATCCACACTGCATCTGTAGGATGAAACTTCTTGTATTTAATGGAAGCAGTATAGTATATGGATTTAAGTTTGGGTCACTACATCACATAATGATGTCACTGCCTGGTGGCAGAATGTAGCTCTCAAATCTCCTTGATTCCTTATAGGTATAACAAAAGACACTCACAGTCAAGAGCGTGGCTCCTTTCCAGCAGGGAAGGGCCCTGCTATAAACTTCATAGGAAGACAAAGCAGAACTAAGTTTTGAGCACATCTCCTCATATTGAACTTGAGAATCAGTAAAAAAATGAACGAAGACCTGTCTGATCTACTCAGAGTCTGTAACTATTCAGCTAATACCAAGTTCATTTCCTGAAACACTTTAGCAAAGAAAATCAAAGAGTCTCAAAAATTGTGAACACTACTCCTTACTCTTGCTCTCTTGAATTCTGGAGATTTATTATTCAAAAAACACTGTAAACATTAAAATCTGACTGTTGCTTTGCAACTGCATGCACTGTACACTGCAAGAATTCTCCTCACTTCAGTGAGAAATCTAATTCAGATGTGTCAAAGTCCCAAATAACATTTCAATTTCCAAAATTACCCAAGAAAACTATAAAACAAAGCTGAATAGTTTCTCACTACTCTTTCCAACAGTGTTCATGCATTTTCTTCAGATGCTTCCTCAGAGCCACACTCTCAGTTTTCCGATATCCATGAAAAACAATAAACAAAGGCTGGTCTCCTGCTCCAGCTGCAGGGCCAGAAAGCTCTAAAAGGAATGATGAAAAAAATCCTAACACTGAAAGTCTGCAGTGACGCTCTTGCAAGAGACAGGACGCTTTGTCCAACAAGGAGATACCAGGTGACTGGAAAGGGAATGAAAGTGTTCATATTAACTATTTTTTCTTTATTGTAAAAGACATTAAGACCTTGTAAAAACAAAACTGAGACGCCAGAGAAGCTGGTGTCACAGACAGCCTTTGTGGGACCTACAGGTATGACAACCAGTCAAAATAATGTGCATCACTATCTTCCAAACCCTGAAGTATAACCCTATCCTATCTTGTTCAGCCTGACCTGAAGCTGTGCAAACCAATCCATATCTGCATCTGTTTTTGACCTGGAGCTGTCCTTCAGATACAACATATAATTGCTTACTTTTGCTCAATAACAATCTCTTCCACACTGCTCAATTAGTTCTCACATCATTTGGCTCTTACGATCACACAAATATAAAATCAAATACCATCCATTTCAAGTCCCAAAAGATATTTTACTCTCACCTCCAGTTTGTATATTGGATATTCACTCTTATTTTGTGACCTTCTGGTCTCTCCCTCACCTTAGAAATGGCACTACCACAAAACTTCTGTCCTATTTTACTACTTTGAAACCTATATTGAGATTTCGATTTGATACGGAAAAAGTCTGATCCATTTTTACCCATAAGATAAACATTCCTCCCTCCTTTCTATCTATTCTTTAGATTTCATCATGATAAATCGATGAACCAAAGCGATTAATTAAAACAAACAAAACAGAATGATTACTCTTTTGAAGGTGGTATTTAAAAACATTTAAAAAAAATACCATGGTTCATACACCAAAAGTTTCCAAATTCAACATCAAATTAATATCAACATAATATAAACATATCTAGACAACACTGTTTAAAAATATATTTGGGAGAAATAAATGCTTCTGCTGTATGATGGTCAAAAAGCAGGCTCCTAAATCTTCCCACTGCCTGGAATGAAATCAAGTCACTTAACACTTGCTGTTGGTTATGCTAATCCTTTAATATTACTATTTATTCCAGCTAAGGAAAAAAAGGCAAAGCCAGCTGTTCAAAATGTCAGCATTTTAATGTTCTCAATGTTGGTGTAATATTTTATCACCTGCTCTTTATGTGTCTTGATTCATACACTTAATTATACCTCAGGGTTACTTATGGGGATAGCTATCAGTTTATATTGATTTAAGACTCCAATTAAAAATTGCACAACAGTCTGAATTGATATAAAATAAAATTTTCTAGTTGCCATCCATCTAACACAATAAGAATGCTTCCTTAGAAAGCTGTCTGAAACTGACAAAATATTTTTTTATCATTATGGCTAAGGGAAAAAAAACCCACAATGCAACATTTCAGGATAACAATTTTTCCAAGACCTTTATGCTGACAGTCTTGTTTTTGTTTAACATTGGGGTAAGCAAGCAACTGCAGTGGAGTCAGCACATAAAACACTCAAAACCAAAGATCAAGGTATTCAAATATTTGCCCACATTTATTAAGCTGTTAATGATGGTACAGAAGAATGCAACCAGTTTCTTCAAAAACCACAACCTCCACTGGAAGAACAAAAGTTATAAAACTCATACAGCCAACCTGAGTGCAACCAAGTGCCCAAGAATCACAATCCTTACACTGATGTTCCCCTACCACATTCACCATTTCATTGGCTGTCTGCAACAGCCTTACGTTACAGCCAAAGCACAGCTGAGGGGAGCAAGTCTTTTCCCCATCTATTTATTTGCAAGAAGACCATAAGGTACTCACCTCTGCAAGCAGAGAGCAGGGGATAAAGGAACAGAACACCAGCAAGCACTGGCATTCTCTTACTCCTTCACATGGCTCTAGCCATGAATCCAATCAGAATCCAGTCCCTGTAAGTTTCCTGGAGATAGCCTACATTGTATGTATTGTATGAAATATTTTGCTTTAAATATCACTTGCTGATCTTAAGATTCTGAAATACATTTTTGTTATCCCAGAAAAGGGATTTAAAAGATGAAGGCAATATGGGTGACTCTGCTGAGAAAGAGGTAGGACAGCATTACTTAAAATAACATTTTGTGGTATTAAGTTGGTTGGAGAACAGAAAATAGTGAAATAGTCCTCATTATGCTTACAATTTCTTGTTTAATCTCACAATAAAGGTAGATGAATGTATTGCTCTTCTTGCAGATCTTTTTGCTCAAGCGTTACATCAAGCCATAAATGAAAAATAATGGCTGCATATGTGGAAAGGAATACAAGGTTGTATTCAGCCCTCCAAAGAAAACAGAGGAACTGAGCCTGTAAGGAAATACATGATCCTGTATAAGTTCCTACCCAACCTACTTATCCTTATACAATACAGATTGCATCAGTCAGCTTATCACCCTGCAGTGCCAAGCCTGTATGAATATGGGATTTGCAGACTCTGCTTCTGTTAGTACAATCCTCTATGATTTGTTAGTGAATCCTTTAATAAGCAGTTTAATAAAAATGAATGGATTGCATTTTAAGTTTTCGAACCTTCCAACAGCTATATTGCAGTTCCACTGAAAATGCTGCAGAGTAACACAACCTTTATTTGCTTCCATCTCTGTTAATGACAAGGAATTGTTATCAGTGCTATTATTTACTTATAGTAACAGACAAAAATATACTGATCAGGACCAGAGCCTTAAGTCCTCTAGAAATATAAAAAAGAAGGAAAAAAAAGGAAAAGAAAAGCTACCCATTTTATTCCTGTGCATAAACATTGATTCATAGAAGCTATATGAGAAAGGAAAAGAACAAGCCTTTTAGTGCTGCAACATGTCTACATTGGAGAAGTTGTGCTCTCTGTAAAAATGAAGTTTGTACTGCATCCAATGGGATTCTAAAATTCCTCTTTTGTTCACTTTCATTAACTTCTTGTGGGAAACACCTGGAGATTCCTAGAACTGCTGATGTGCAAACACATCAAAACACAGTGAAAAACACAACTGCTATGGTATCTGATACGAAATTAAGTTGGTCCATTTTCACACCTCATTTTTTAGCTCCTCAGTTTTGGATACTGGATCTTGCAAAGTTCTTTCTAATTGTTCTTACTATACTACTACTTTTTTTTTTTTTTTTTTTTTAACGTATTTTCAAATGTGTTTACCTGAATATTAGGTTACTATGTTAACTTGATGATGTGTGCAAGTAAAGGCTAATATAGTAGGCCACAAATCAGGTTTTGCCACAACTTTTAGAAAGATCAAATACTAATTTCATATTTTCTCAATACAACACCTGAAACATCATTACAGTTTTCTCATATTAAGAGGATTCCTGCAACATTTTTCTACAGCAGTAAGACAATTAACAAGATTTGAAGATTTACTAATTATATAATGCATGACCCTTGTAATTTATTAAGTGGTCACAGAATGACATTATCCACTCATTAACGAATTGAAAAGCAGGAGAAATGTAAGAGGATTTCAGAGATACACATCAATATTGAAACATGGCTGAATACAACCCAATGCTAAGGAATGCAACTGTTTGTTTCAGAATGCAACATTTCATCAGGTGTCCAGTGCCAGAAATCACTTCCATGCAAGGCTTTTCTGGAATCCCCTCAGCAACTTTGTCTTCCTAAATGCTTAGAATTAAAGAACTAAATTTGAAAAGCTCAACTTAGGAATCAACTGATCACGCAGTTCTTGCTCAGGCAAAGTTCTGACTGAAGTTGGGAAGTTTTGATGAAGAAAACCAACAACTCCCTAGTAAGGCAGAAGAGAGAAAGCTTCTTTTAGAGCCAGTAAGTCAAGCAATTCCCAAGGCATGTGAAGCCCTCCAAACACTACTGTTGTGCAGTTTTCTATTAATTCTTATATTCTGTTTGTCAACTGCCTATGACAGTTTTGGCAGTGCTTGGAGCGAAGTCCATCTCCAAGAACAATAAATTTCCTTTGTTTCAATTGAACTATGAACCATTAAGAAAACTACAGCATTCTCATCCCAGTGCTGAAAGCAGTGCAGTGATAAAGCTCACTATCAACTTAAATATAGGAGCAATTTGAAACATACTTGCTAAGCTTCAGAAGGTGAAGATCCTCAATTTTTTTTTCCCAAATTGTAAGCTGCTTCTGTTGAAAAATCTCAGCCTTTTTAAACAATCCTATGAGTCTTCCATGGTTAGACAGCAATCACAGATCAGTTGGGAATGGAACAACATAAAGCAGTATGATGATGCAACCCAAGAAAGTCTTTTCTTTCTTGAAACACAGACTTAAGTCTTAAGTACACTTAGCACTTTCTACAACTGTGGATTTCACTGAATACTGCTCAGTATTAACAAATTACAACTGCTCTGTATCTAATTAATTTCAGTAAATTCTATCTTTCCCTCTTTAAACTTTCTGCAAGGGTTAACTTAGTTTCAGATGCCTACTTACTTGGAAGAATACAATATTTTATCACCTCTTACAGTCAGCCCATCCCACAGTTACAGTATGAATAGTAAGTGGGAGCTAGCATGGGTCAGTGCAGAACTATAATATCTTACATCATATTCTCATACCCACTTTTATTCTAAGTATATTGGTGTAAGATGCGTAAGATCTCATGCCTGTTTTGGTAAGCTCTCAACAAATCCAAAATAGGGGATACATGTTGTCAGTGCTTCCACATTCTATAGGACACAAAAAGCCTTAAGCGTAGTTTCTTCCTCCTATGTACACAATAATAAAGCAGTGGTTCATTACTTTTACACTGACATCTCTTAGAGGCCAAAAACCTCAACTAAGAATTTGATATACTCTTGCAAGATGAAGACACAGAGCAAACATGCACAAGAAACTTTAAACATCAGTTTGATAATACTTAATTATAACTTTCAATGCAACGACCTACAGAATCTTTCAGGTGAAACAAGGATTGTCTCATGAGATAAAATTTTTCTTTGCTGGGATGAGGTGGAGGCAACTTCCACTGAAATCCTCCAGTGTGCTGTTGGACAGATAGCTGGGGAGCCAAGAAAAGAATGCAAAACATTTAATAGGCATCATAAACTCTAGGCATCTTTTCCTGGGAGCCTATTTTGTGACCTGAATACTTCAATATCACTCAGAGTGCATGAACAACTATTGTCATTCACAAAGATACACTAGTAAGGACATTACTTCTGCTGATCATCATTCGAAACAACTAAATATCCATACTCCACTGGCATCCAATAGCGTGGTTAATCAATAAAAATGCTCAGTTATCTTATAAGAATTTTAACTTCTACAAATTTCTTAGATGTATATTAAATACAACATAAAAGGATCATTAGGAAAAAAGCACCAACAGTTCTAAGTGTTTGTAATTGTTTCCTACGTACTTTGTAAATTATCAGCACTTTCATTTCTGATGTAAAATACATCTAAATAGTTTTAAAAATTATGTTAAAGCACCCAAATGGATGGAATTAACTTCTCCAGAGGCAGCATATTCCAGCATTTATGACAGAGAATATTAAAAAAAGGTTTAGAGACTCTTTCACTAATATTTTTCATTTTTTTGAACATCATACTCTTGTCTGCTCTTGCCAGTTGATTATGAATATGTTGGGACATGGATTGTCTCTTATTCTATGTCTGTACAATGTCTAGGGTTGTAGGGCCTCTTCTCAGCTGGGACCTTAAAGCACTAATGCTATAAAAGTATTACTAACAGCAGTAAAGCAGCTCTTTGATCGCACTGAATTTTGAGAACTTAGTAGAGCAGTGGTTCAAAAATAAGTAGTGACCTGCCAGAACCTTATTTATCATAGTTCAGCCACAATGTGACAAAGAAATGCAAAGCATTAAATTCTTCTGTGATGAAACACTACCTGTTTAAATGGGTTTATTGGAAGAGTGAATACAGTACCTTGTATAGAAAGACAAATTCAAGACTAATTTATAAGCAGAAGAAAATGGGAAGATGGAAAGAAAGACAGAAGAAAAAGACAAAAAAAAAAAAAAAAAAAGAAAGGAAAACAGAAGAAAGAAGAAGAAAGAACAGGAAGAAATAAGAACGAACATTTAGTTGTAAACAAACAATTAGCTCTTTGAATATTCAACAAACTGGTTGTGTGTGTAGGATATAGGCTGGCTCTTTTCCAGTACTACACAATCCTAATTAGCGATGTTGAAACTGTGTATTTTTGTAAGTGATTAGATTGTTACAGGGATCCATACAGGGTTAAGAAACACTGCAGATGATTACTGATTACGGAAATGTTTACTGGATCTAAATGAAGTGACCCACATTGCTCCTTGGTATCCTCTTATCTCAGAGCATTGCAAAACTTAATCCACACAGCAGCTAATGTCACCATTTGTCTGCCTGGAGTAACTGTTTCTATTTCACTCTGGTTCTTAAAGCATTTTAAGAGATGCTTTTTTTTTTTTTTTTTTTTTTCTCTCTGAGGTTTCTTAGGATTTGCTGCAATAGCAAATTGTCTTGCAGTCACAACTGTTTCTATAAACACATTGTCTTTAGGGATTTTGCCTCGCATTTAAATTTCAAAAAATGAGAGAGGATTTGGGCAAGCTCACGCCACCCAACAGCACTGGTAAGTAGTTGGTGGGCACAGAGATGCTGTGTACTCTCCAGTTCATCCTGTCTCTCCTGCATGCATCAGGAAGAGGACACTTCCTCCATCTAATCCCGCACAGTTTATCTTGAAGATGTGTTACAGAACACACAGTTTTCTGTTCAAAGCTGTGATATTTGCTACTGACTTGCAAACCTTCTTCGCTATACCCAGTAGAGTTTCATAGAAGTCCAAAATCCAGATAGGCTCAAACTAGCTTGGAAGGCCTCATTAACAGGTCTTGAGCCAGGACTGTGATTGTTAAAAAAAATGCAGACTGAAAAATAATTTAGAGCCTGATTCAAACTGAAAAACCACTCATCAACCACCATCAATTTGCCTTTCACTGATATTTTGGATCAAGGGGCTTCAGTTCCTGAGTTTTGGTTCTAGCCTTGCATAACCACAAATCTAACTACAATTTTCAGCATACTTTTTTACTGTCTGCTTTGGAAAGAAAACATGCTCGTTATGATACAGTTAATTTATCAAAAAAAAAAACCAAACCATAACAAATAAAAATTAAGCCAACATATCATGTGTAGCAAGAAAAAAAGAACTGCAGATCGGCATGCTGCAGTATATAGCAACTCTGGAGGTGATCCAAAGTCTCAGAACCACAGCTGAAAACCAGGGGAATAACTGAACCACTTTCTTGTCTATTGCCTTGTAACAAGCTTCCATTGTAAAATCACATTATTAGAAACTGTCTGTTTTACAGAATGTTTAAAAAAATTGAGAGAACACAAGCGTAATTTTTTTAGGGCTCACTTAAGGCCAACTCAGAATGTAGAGGGCTTTCCCTCCACCCCCCTCCAGTAATTGCTATTTAAAGATCATTTGAATGACCTTCTAGTACATCTTAGCCATCTTTTTATTTACTTGTCTGGTAAAACCCAATCCTTCATCAGGCCAAATAGTCAAAGAGATGGAAAATTTAAACCTTTCCAGCTCCTGAAGGAAAGTTTCTCCCAACAGCTGTCTTGCTTTATGAAAGCATGAAGTCAGTACATCCAATCTCATGCTATCAATCACACGGGCTGACATTTCCTGCAAACTGTGTCCACAAGACAAACGGGAAAAGAGAACCTAAAAGGAACAACAAATTGCCAAAAAGCAGATGGAATTATGTGCTCTTGTTTATATTTGGCTGTTCAAATGAGCCTGGTCTAAATGCCTTCCCCTTCAGAATTATAGCACTAAGCAGTCATTTGCATCACTGCTGAAAACACCTGACACTCGTATTAAGAAATATTGGGTTTAATTGCAGTCCATTAAAATGTGGAAATGTCTTCGGTGTAGGATTAATGATTTAAGTGAACTGTCGGCTTTTAGAGTATTTTTAGGCCCTCCTCCTGCAGATGCAAACATCCTCTTGTTTCCCCCTCCCCTCCCTGAACTTTTGCAAAAAAGGTCTGCCACATGTTTCTCATCTCCTGGCTTTAGGTAAGTAGCATTTAAAATGACTCTGAACATCAAGCATCTATGATTTGTGACTTTCAGAAGAGTGTTTGTGTACACAAAGGGATGTTAAATTGTTGTTTTGACTTTAATCTAAATAATTTTCATTTCCCCTTACAGTGAATATTTTCTACATGTACCAAAACAGGGTTGTGTTTTTGTCAGTTTTTATACTTGCAGGAGTATGAAGTTACACACTGGATGGAATGCACTGACCGCTGGTACTCAGCTCGTGACTCCTTACCATACAGCGAGGTTCAGCTCCAGACACAGAATGTGTGGTTGGATTTCAGTTACACTGCCATTTATGTCTTCATCTGTGCACACAGAGCAGAACAAGGGGAACCACCGCTGTTGCTACCCATTTTAAAATCATAGGAGGGGAAAAAAAAAATACGCCTTGAATGCTGTAAACACCATAAATACAGATGCTTTGATTTTCTGCAAAATAAATACATAAATCTGCACCTTGCATGAAAACATCTCTGTAATATTTTTACATTCTAGTTTGTTAGCTTGAGATTTCTTGACACTCTTTAGGGGAAACTGAAAATAACATTTTAACTGAAAATCATTTGTGGCGTTTGCGGCAGCAAAGATCACCAGCCCACTACACCTATGAAGCTTCTGGTCCTTGCCCAGCACTGACCACTGAAGTGTCTGAGTCCTGCTGGATCTAGTGACCAGACAATGATGCCCGTCCCTCCCCCACCCTTCTCTGCAAACCTGTCATTACCCAACAAAGATTTACAAGGTTGTGCTAGCTGGGTCTCAATTTACTGACAAAATTATGACAGATAATGTTTTCCGCTCTACTTACAAAAAATACTGATGATAATAATGCAAGAAATTGGAGTTGGCTTCAAAATCCAATAGGTTTGAAAAACAATATTCTCAACAATTCTGCTGTCTCCTAGCTTAAAAAACACAATTTTCTGATGTATCCCCTATACTTGGCTTCTGGATCTTGTACTTATGTCATTATCTTCCCTCTTCATTAAAATACTAAGAATCAGGACGTTCAGAATCATTTGAACTCAGGAATCACCAGAGCTGATCCAGTAAGATTGTAGACGTTGAGTGTGAGCAGTCTGTAGGTACAGGTGCCATGTAAGTACCTTCCAGATCAGCCAATCAAAACCAAAAGAAAGGAGAAAGAATGCCTGTCCTTCTTCCACTATTCCCACAGCATGGAATAATGAAGACCTTAATTCTCAAATATATTTGTTATTTGAAATTAAGCCTAGTATATCCTCAGTTTGCAGATGTATGCTGTATTTACAGTATATGCCTGATTGTTAACATTCAGTTGTTAAAAATGCAGTTTACAGACCAGCTTTAGCTACATCATTAGTACATCTTGTTCTTTGCAACATTTTCAACACATAAACACAAAGCCTAACGCTTAGCAGACTGCTACATTTAAAAAAAAAATATTTTATTCAGGAATTTGAAATATTTTTGTTCAAGATTTTTGACATGCCTGTGCTTATAAACATCCCGTGCTACAGTAAAGCAGATACAGAAAGGTAAGTTGCAATGGAGTTGAAACTTGGCTTAAACCATGGCTTAAGCCATGCTTTGGAAAACAGGACCAGTCAAGGATTAATGAATCCTTTTCTTTCAAGTAGGTGGCAGTGTCACAGTCCCACCTCAGCACACTCAAGGCAGAGAGCAGAAGTTCTGGAAGATATCCGATCACATTTCTCCCTCATTTATTTAACCACATCAGCTACTGCTGCAAATATCATCCTTCATTAAAGCTCATGATCAAGAGCCTCTCAGCAACAATGTCAGAGCTGTCTGGACTTAGTTCCAACATGACTGATGCCAATTCCATGCTCCTAAAGACAAAGAAGGAACTGAAAGTAGAGTGCAATCCCCAGGTACAAAAAAGGACATAATCCTGTGTGCTGGATATTTTCAGGGCCATATTTTT